AACAGATGTCAGGGTATTGGAACCCTGTCCTGATGAGCTACAAGTATGTGCACTGTCTGCTAGACTCTCAAGTTGAAACATAGAATGACTTTTGTTATTGGAACCAAAGAATGGAGAAGAGTTTAGGGATGGAAATACTAGATTCATAAGCATACAGATGGTTCCAAGGGACTGAGCCTAGAATGACAAGGGATAGTGAAATGAGGAGGTCAGAAGAGCAAACACAAACAAGGAGACTAGGAAAAACCCAGGAAGACTGGAGTAGAGTCAAGGGAGTGGTATCCTAAAGGCATGAAGGACATGTTTCCACAAGAAGGGAGCAACCACCTGTGACAAATGCTGCTGAAGGTCAAAGAACATTAAAAATCAACCAGGGACTTTAGAAGTATGAAGGTTATCTATGCCTCAGGCAAAAGCAATGAGGCCATCGATAAAATATAGCACAAATGAAGTGTTTATGCTAATTGTACTCTTTATGCTATTTTGCTTCATAGAACTGAATTAGCACTGTTTTAGAAGAAATGAGTTTCACATGCACAGTCTTTATTTCTTTAAGGTAAAAATCAAACACAGCAAAGGAACAGACATATTCAGAATTCCTCCAACCAGAGGATTTTAAGACCAGCACACAATGACCTTGAAAGACTACAAAATGCTAATCATCAAACAAATTGATATAACTGAAACATCATGTTATTATTTTATGGATTTTTAAATTAATAGCACACATTGAACTTATGAGGTGACTAAAAACAATATGTTTGCTACATGGTATAGAATTAAGAATGTGCCCATTATGTGTTCTCTTTCAACTCAGCAATAATACATTGCTAGCCTTCACTAGTAAATGCCCAAAGTTTTGAATAACTATTGTGTTTTTGTTTTGTTTTGACACTATATAGCCCTCCTCCTTGGAACTAGCTATGTAGACCAGACTGGTCTAGAACTCATAGAGATCTATAGTAGTTACTTTTCTGTTGCTATGATAAGATACCATGACCAAGGCAACTTATAGAAGGAAGAGTTTATTTGGCTTACAGTTCCAGGGGTATGGGTCCATAATGGGGGGAGGGGAGTGAGGGCGTGTGGAAGGAGGTGGCCAAAATTGAAAGCTAAGTGATTGATCACATCTTAAGGCAGGCACATCTTAAAGCAGAGAGAGACTGGAAGAACTCTAAGCATGCCCCCAGTGACATGCTTCATACTGTAAGCAACTTCTAAAATCTCCCAAAACAACACCACCAACTGGGAACAAAATGTCCAAATACTTGGAGCCCATGGAGACATTCTCATTCAAACCATCACAAGATCCTCCTGCTTCTTCTGCCTCACACAAGTTGGAATTAAAGGGATTAAAATCCCTGCCTAATTGTTTCTTGAGTGCAAAAAAAAAATCTATTCAAAAATTAAGCAATCAAAAAAAAAGCCTTTAGGATACTTAACATTTAAATTTTATTTGCTATTAAGATTATTTTCTAAATAACAAAATGATACTAATTTATATTAAATTGTTACTGTATAGTTTAGATATCATTATAAGTACTTTCTAAAAAAATCTATTAATACTAAAATTTGAGGAAATCAAAAATGTCTTTTCTGTAGTTCCCTTGTCTGGACAAGATTAAATACTGTAAGATAAACATTGTGCTGGATAGCTTTAGTGTCAATTTGACACACCTGGGTTGAGGGAGCCTTAGCTGGTGAATTGCCTCTATTGAACTGGCCTTAGACAATGTCCGTAGGGTATTTTCTTGATTGTTGAGTGATGTGTGAGGGCTCACTGTGGGTGGGCCACCCCTGGGCAGTTGGTCCCATATTGTATAAGAAAGCAGGCTGAGCATGGGCCAGAGGAGCAAGCCAGTAAGCAGCATTCCTCCATGGCCTGTGCTCCAGCTCCTCCCTCCAGGTTCCTGCCCTGAGTTCCTACCTTGGGCTGCCTAATGAACTGTGACCCGAAATGTAAGCCAAATAAACCCTTCACCTCCAAATTGCTATTGGTCAGAGTGTTTTGTCACAGCAATAGAAAAACAAACTAGAACAAAGGCCATCTTACTTCATCATTATCCATACTGTATCCATGTTTAATCAAAATACACATCAAGTTTTCTTAGGTTGTTTTGACTTCTTTTCTGAACATATGATCTGTCATAAAATATAATTAAGAACAAGGTCAATAAGTTGTGTAGACGGACTAGTGACATATAATAAGTACTTTACAGGCTATTGACTGCTCAATCCATACCCTGGAACAACTCCTAGAAGTCTTGTCCACACCCATCTTCCTCCTTTGTCATTAATAATGTCATATAAAATTGAAACAAAAGTTTTGCTTTTGATTTATTTCCCTTAGGCCCATTATTTGTCTAAAAAGCACATACTTTTTCAAAAAGAGAAATTAAGTTGAATTGATAGAATTGGGTCTTCGTATAACCATACTGATTGCTACACAGGACCATGAGTCTTTGTAGCTTTTAAGTAATCAGTCAATTGATTTTCAGTCTCTTAATGCTTGAAATATGCCCTGAAATATGTAATTTTCAGAGTGCTCTTGATTCTACATGAGCGTGATGTTGTGCCATTTTCCAGTGTTCATCTCATTTTCCATCTGCCAGCTTGTAATAAGTAATCGTAGAAAGTCCATTCTCCTCTTAGGCAGGTCACAAAACACAAAAATCCTATACTTCACCAATTCTAAGAGACCATGAATTACAATTCTCATCATTGTTTTATGTACCATTTAAAAAATTCTTGCCAACTTTATGTAATCGGATGCTTTATTTACAATTATTTAAAGAGCTCTTAGAGACACAGTTAGACATATTTGCCTCACTTATATCAGATTTACTCCCTGCTGCTGTTTCAATGCCCTTCTGCCTGTACAACTTTTGTTTCAATGCTGAATAATAATACAATCTTTATGAAGACATTTTAGAAGGCAATAAATTTCGATACATGTGTAGCGCTGATGTGCAAAACTAAACTGAGGTACATTAATGCCTTTGACTAGATGTGCCTTGCACAGGCGATAACTAGAGCCTATCACCTGTTTAGCCTGTGGCAATTGTAATGTATTATCAATTAGAAAAGTAGCTATATTTTCACAGTATAAAATGTGGAAAAAACTTGATACCTTAGAATTATTGAAATATGGTAACGTAAAATCTGTATATTTCATCACTCAAAACAGAACATGTTAATACAGAGAAATTTTTTGCAATATTGAATTGCAGCCATTTCTAGGCGATGCCATGTTATGGCTGTGCCTGAATAAAGACAGCCTGACTTTTAGCATCAATTTTAGTCAAGAAGGACAGGAACTGTTCTGAGCAACAGTTCCTTCAGATTACTCTCTGAACTGTGCTCTGGAACAAAAGCTCTCTCTCTCTGTTTTATTGAAACAGTATATCCATCAGGAAATGGGAAAGGAAAACATGGAAGGATTTGTCTTCTTAGGAAAATTGCCCTTTCTGACCCTCTACTGACTAGAATAGCACACAAACATATTGTCAGTTTAATCCCTGTTGTTTGCAACAAGAATAGGATAATCTTCATTGCTTCCAATAAATATGAAAAATAGGCACACACATGCACACACACACACACACACACACACACATGCATTGCTTTGGGTCAAGGACAAGGAAAGATCATGAGCTCTGTGTTTATGTTACAAGGAGATCTCAAGTCTCAGTGAGCTTGTGTACATCAAAAACAAGATAATATTAATTTTTTGGAAGCAAAGTTAAGGAAAAGACATTTGTCCAGAGTATGACCATGCTGTAAAAGTCATTATCTCATTCAATGAAATAACAGGTTTTTTTTTTTAGATATTTTGGGTGTTTGTCCTTGCTAGGCACTGAGAAATAAAAATCCAGTTAAGTATCTGGGGAAGGTACAAACAGAAGTATTTATAATAAAAACAGCACACCCGACATAGATGTTGGAAACCAGATTGAGGGTTTCTGGAACAGCAGCAAGCACTCTTAACCTCTGAACCTTCTCTCTAGCACCCAAATTTCATACTTTATGAGTTGTAATCCTAACAGGCAAAATTAAATTCTTGTGCATGATCTCTGGTAAAAGAATTCATAGCCCTGGGCTAGCATCTAAGTTGACACAATGTATTGGTTTAGTCCAGTCTTCTGAGCCTTCTGAATCTGTAAAGTAAATGTTGAACAAGATTTTAAAATAAGCTAGGCATGGTGGTGTACACCTTTAGTTCAAACACTCTGGAGGCAAAAGTAAGTGGATCTCTGTGAGGTCAAGATTTAAAACTAAAGTTTAGAAGGAACCACCTATGATAAACCGAGTAAACAGTTTGATCTGACAGTGTGCCAAGAATCCTTGTGAAGTATTTATTGTATTTCCTCTAAAAGAATCACTATTGCTTTTGAATTTAAAAAGAAAAAACTTATTTTATTAATTTTTTTAGCCAGCCTATGAAATGATGGGTCTTGCTATGGCATTTTCCTATCATTGTACCTCACTTATATTTACTCTCTCACCATCCTCTCCCATTCCTCCTCTACTCTCACTAGTCCCCTTCCATCTCCAAAATGGTTCCCCTCAAAAACAGAAAATACCAGGGCTCAGGTGTATGGCTAGCACCTCTGAACACAATGCTGCCTTGTTTGCCTGGGACAGAATGGGCTCTCAGGAAACAAAACTTTCCATCTTAAAATTCTGATAGTCCCAAGCTGACAGGCCAGGGCAGAAGGAGTCCCCCAGACCCCTTGACAGACCATGCTGAGTAAAGAGAGAGAGTTAAAACTGAGCTTCTCCAGAGGAAACAACTAACTCCAGCATCTTTCGTCCCATCTTACCCACGATTGAACCCGATGTTATAACCAAGAACTTTAAAACAAAATAAAATTTCCTCTTGCTTTTTCTTTTCCTTCTTTTCCAATATTAATGAATTTGGGGATCCTCAGTCATCAGAATTGGACAGCCTTTCTGTCCTGAACATATGGCCAATCATTTTTCCTCCCATTATCTTTCAGCCCCTGAGTTTTGAAAGAAAGAAAAGCTATACCTTGAAAGTGGAAGGAGCCAACCCTCACCTAGAGATGCGTTTTCTCAACCTCGGCCCATTTCAGGACACGACGACCGTGCACATCACTGTGGAAGATGTGGATGAGCCCCCAGTGTTTGAACCTGGCTTTTACTTTGTAGAGGTGCCTGAGGATGTGACAATTGGAACAACCATACAGATAATTTCTGCCAAGGATCCAGATGTGACCAACAACTCTATCAGGTTAGCCTACAGATTTCACCTTTCCCTTATATCCTGGGATTTTCCTTTCCTTTTTATCTAATTTTCTGGCATTTTCCCCTTTGTCTCTTCCTTTTTCACTCCACCTCTGGAGACAGTCCTCTCCTAGGTCTTTGCTGTTATTAGTAACATGGCCATATCAGAGTGACTTGGAAATTAAATAGCATTACATCTTAAACTCACTTTCATTTAGTTCAGGTGCATCCACATACGCCATTAATTTTCAGTCATGGTCCCACTGACACTTGGAGCAGTATCAGTCTGTGATGGTATCACAGATTGTCCTGAGCATTGAATTTTTAATGCCAGGATGTCTGGTCCTCACCCATAAAATGCCACTAGCAGCCTCCAACTTCTAACTACCTAAAATGTGCCCAGATACTTCCAAATGTCCTGGGGGGGGGTGTGCAAAACCGCCCCCAGTGCAAACCTATCAATTCAAAACAAGCGTAGTCACACACAGAGTCAAAATGTTCAAAATCACTCCTTTTTCAATCTAACATTTTAAATCAGTATTTTAAGTTAGCACACAAAGTAATGGGTTTCATTATGGCATACTCGCGTTTTTAGACTTTGTTCTTATTCACCCCCAATGGCTCTCCCCCATATACCTTGCCCCTGTCTTGCTGGTCCCCTCCTTTGTCATCCCTCTGCTTCCACATCATAAAGAATCCATTACCTGCCTTTCCCCTTCCCTGCTTCCTTTAAGATTGCTTCCTACCCTCATGGTACCCTTTCTGTTTTCATGACTCACACACATGCGCACGCACACACACACACGTTTTTTAATTGGATAATTTGTAGAGAGTGTTGCTATTTTATTTTTATATTTCTTTGTATATTCTAGATACAGATCTCCTGTCTGGTATATATTTGGCAAAGATTTCCCCCCATTCTGTAAGCTGTCTCTTCACATGATGGTTTCCTTTGCTGTGTAGAAACAGCTTAATTTCATGTAGCCCTATTTGTCACTTCTCAGAATTACTTCCTATGCTACTGGATCCCCTTTTAGAAAGCTTATCTATGTCTGTGTCTTAAAGGGCTTTACTTATACTTTCCTCTGGTGGCTTCAAATTTTCATCTCTTTCATTAGAGTCTTGGAGTTATTTTTGGTAACGAGTGAAAGAAATGGATCTAGTTTCAGTCTTCAACCTGTGGGCATTGAGTCTACTCAGCACCACTTGTTGAAGAGACTATGTTTTTTTTTTTTCCAGTGCATGTTTTTTGACAACTTTGTCAAAACTTAAGTGGCTGTAGCCGTGTAGGTTCATTTCTGGACCTCATATTCTGCTGCATTGGTCTACATGTCTGCTGTGTGCCAACAGCATGATTACTTTGTCACTATGGCTCTGTACTATAACTTGACATCAAGCATTGTGATACCCCTAGTATCACACTATAGTATCGCACTATAGTATTGTTTTGGCTAATTGAGGCATTTTTAATGTTTTTACTAACATGTTATATATAATTATATAATAAAGGGTTTATTATGACTTTTCATAGGTGTATATAATGTATTTTGATCATGGTCACTTCCCATGACCCTCTTTCATCCTCCTCCAACTCCCTTTTCCTCTTCCCGACTAATCTCCTACTTTCGTGTCTCTCAGATTTTTGTTTGTTTTTTTTTTTGGTTGGTTTTAGAGTTTCATGTGGGGCACATTTTGGTTTTGGTGACCCAATTTGTTTCATTAGGGATGCTTATAGGAGCAGGGGTGTGGCACTATTTACAGGAGGTTGGGCATCTTACCAGTGGCTACACCTCTGAAGAACATGTCTCTCCCTCTCCCAGCAACCTTTAACTGCTTATTGATCCTTAAGGAAAAGTGTGACCTCACAAGCCCCTCCTACCTCCATTGCAAGATATTGATGGGCCTAATCTTGTGCAGGAAATCACAGCTGCTGTGAGTTCAATAGTCCAGCCTTCTACAGCACTCTTACACTCTTTCTGTCCCCTTCTTCACTAATGTTCCCTGACCCTTGGAGAGGGTAATACAGATATCCTATTCATGGTGGGGCATTCAACAGTCACTTATTCTCACCATTTTGACCAGTATGAGTCACTACATTTACGACAGCCCACTATAAAAATAAGCTTCGGGAGCTGGAGAGATGGCTCAGTGGGTACTAGCACAGGTTGCTCTTGCAGAAGACCTAGGTTCAAATCCTAGCACCCACATGGCAGCAAACAATTGTCTGTAACTCCAGTTTCAGGGGATCCTACACCCTCTTCTGACCTCCATGGGCATTATATGACACAAGTGTACTTAGACACATGCAGGCAATATATTCATACACATAAAATAAAAATAATAAAGAAAATACCAAAAAAATCTTCTTTAACCAAAGCTGACAAATTTATGGGCATAAACATTTCACTTCCATGTGAATTCTAGGATTGGTTTTTCTTGTTGTAAAGAATGTAATTGAAATTTTGACCAGGATTACGTTGACTCTTAGATTACATTCAGTGGTATGGCCATTTTTACAGTTTTAATTCTGCCAGTCTGTGAACAGAGCAGACTTTTCTATCTTCTAGTGTCTTCTTCCATTTCTTTCTTTAGTTTTCCAAAGTCTTCACTGTGAAGGTCTTTAACCTTCTTAATCAGTTTTATTCCCAGGTACTTTTTAAATTATCAAGAATGGGACCTTTTCCCTGATTTCTTTGTCAGCAAGTTTGGTATTGGTTTATAGAAAGTCTACTGGTATTTCTGTGTTGAAAAACCACTCTTAGTAGTGAATATAAAGGTAGCCGTCGTACATTCCTTCAACTTTTATTAGCCTTCAACATGTTCACTTCTAAAACAAATGGAATAGAGCAAGTTTGGTAACATGAACCTGTAATCACAGCACACAGGAGGCAGAGAAAAAAGATCACTTCAAGTTTGAGACCAGCCTGTTTTACATAGCAAGTTCCAGGCCAGCCAGGACTACACATCAATACAGCAAGCTCCCAATCACAAAACAAAACAAACAAACAGAACTTAGGAAAACACCGTGCATTATATACTTCCTTATGCTATAGAAAGGACAGAGGTAGAAACTCTTCCTGAGGTAAGTGCCTTTGGTGACAGGTAGACTGTCTAGAGAGTCCCACATCTGTCTCCCCAGGCTGTTTTTGAATTGAGGATTCCAACCAAGATGCTTCCCATCAGTACGGAATTATTCTTACAACCATGACTGTTTTCTGTCAACTCTGGAAGCAAAGTGCAAACAGCTGGTAGACAGGTTGATCCCTCAGCCTTCAACAGCCACTGCCAAGCTTCTGAAGTCCTACACAAACGATCTGAATTCCAAGGCTGTTTGAGGCCATCTGCCACATTAATTGTTGAAAGCCACACAGTAAAATGAATCTGGGGCCTTAGTGCCAATAACACATTTTAAACACACTCCCATTTATCAAATGGCTTTTCTGTCGGCTGGCTACTTCCCTCATCTGGTGCCATTTAGTATTTAATGAAAATGTACTTTTATAGTTTAACAAGAATGTTTTTCTTCAGATAATAGCTATACTGGGGGAAATCTGCTTCTTCTGACCAACTGGTAAACATGTTATATGTTCAAGCATTGAAATGACTAAAGTGGTTTTAATTGTTTCATTTAGTTTTTTTAAAGACAACTAACCTTTCTGAGCTAAACGACCTTATAAAAATTATATCTCGATCTCAAGCTTTTTTAGTGTAAAACAGAATAAGTAAAACCATGTTATCCCCAAAACAATTATAACAAAAATGGAACAGATGTACCATAATTTCCTTTATGTTTAGAAACCACAAATATATTTCTGTGATCATGATTTGTTAATTATGTATCTATTCATTTAATAGATACCAGTCAGTTTTTGTATCAAAGAATATACTGTGGGAAGGACCTTTAGAGGATAAAACTTAATGGAAGAAACAAATTTTAAAAAGCACAAATGAAAAAAACAAATCCAATTTCTGAAACAGAGCATCCAAGGTACTTCCATGTCAGCTTCATATCTGACTTCTGACTATGAAGCCCTACCTGATAATCACTGAAAACAAGGTCTGGTTCAGAGTCACACCACAGAGTAACAGACAAAACAAAGAGACTGGAAATTGTCAGGCAAACACAAGCACATTCAACCCTAGAGGTTATATCTTATATTGAGGAATAAAGTTATTATCTCAAGACATCTCAGGGAAAGAACAAAAAGCATCAGGGTTTGAGATCCACTCCTGACACAGATCAAAATGAGGCAGAAAATGAAGGAACCTGTCTGATGAACAAAAAATGTTGCTTCAGATCGGCCAGGTGAAGATCATTAGTCAGCATGAGGGAGGTCCATGAGGAAGTTCCTGGCTGTTCCAACAGAGACAATCCAGGAAAAATCAAGAACACAAAGGCCAGGGGTGTAGGCCAGGGTCGTTGGGCCATTCTGCAGCAGAACTCAGAATTCTTGGGAGAAAATTTAGCAAGAATCGGGGTGCAGACTTGGAACAAGACAAAGGGTCACACGCAAGGTTAAGCAGACAAAATTATTGTAAATAGGGATAATTCTCCCTCTGAATTTTGGAAACAAAATCTAGAGTTCACATTGGTAGATACAAAGTCCCTGAATCTGTGTTATTCCACAGCAACAAAGAATAGTCCCTAGACCTGAGCAGAACACCAAAGATCCTAGATTTGCAGAGGGATATTTACGGACAAGTCAATCTGTGGCTGTTATTTAGTAGATGTGTTTAAGATGGCTTTCACTTGTTACATTTCCCCAATAGTCCACACTATCCTTATTTTTTATATAAAAAGTTAGTTTGAGGGACTGGAGATTTGGCTCAGTGGTTCTTGCTGCTCAATCATGAGGACCAGGACTCTTGTGACCACACACACACACACACACACACACACGCACAAAGACAAACACTCACATACAAAGAAAATAGATCTTGAAGAGGGGAAAAAAAAAAAAAAGGCCTTGGCCAAAATAGCTCAGTTGGGAGGTTGTTAGACTGAGA